ATTGAAAGCTTTACTTCGTTGGCGACGACTCAGAGATGAGGTGCAGAACTCTGAAGAAGAACTGCAAGTTTTACGGTAAAGATCTGACAGTGCAGTATCTGCTTTTGCTTGTTCTTGTGCTCTCTCTCTCTCTCTCTCTCTCTCCTCCTCTTCCTCCTCTCTCTCCTCCTCTCTCTCCTATTTTCCTCTATCTGTTTTCTGCCTCTAAAGGACCTACATCCAAATCATCTGATTAAATCCACTGCATTTCCTTATTTCCTTCTGAAGAAAAAAGAAAAGTCAAATTTAATTGACCAGGTTGTTCAACTTCTGCATGATATAATTGCTTTTCTGCTTGTTATAAAAAGCTTTCCAAAAACTTGGCACTTAGTTTGATATAAAATGTCTCTAAGCATTTCACAAGAGCTTCTGTTCGGCAAAAGAGTAAGAGGCCATTTCCTGAACAAAGTTCACTATTTGAAGCCATAACAAATTCTTTTTTTTCCCTGGCTGAAGACAAGCACATACAGGAGTATGACATCTAACTGCCAAGCTGAATGAAGCTTTGAAAACAAAGGAAAATGCGGAATGAACTATATAAATGTACTTTCTCCTTAGAAATGACTAATGCTATTTAAACAAGATTTTGTTCTTTACGTACCAGATGCTGAGCTCAAGGCTTCTTCTCACATAGCTAAATACATTAGATCAAAAAGGGTTCTTGCTTGGTAATGATTTAATAATCTGGGCTATTCTAATTGGTATCTTGGGAATTTGCCATAGTTTTTTATCTTGAGGCATCTAGAGTGGTTGCCTAACATCTCCACTGCTTGTCTCCCCCCGCAGTCTTCGACCAAGAAAATTGAGTTTGCTAATCTGAACTCCAATTAGCCCTGCACTGACCAAATCACAGAAATGCAGAGACAGAGAGATTATTCAGACCATCCTCCTGTCTTGCACTATCTGCAGTATGCACAGACCGTCTTAAACAGATTTTTGCTAGCTTGTGCTTAGAAACCTCCAGTTAAAAAGTTTGCACAGTATCTAGCTCAGCTGTTTTAGTACTAGCAGTTAAAAACTGTTTCCTAATATCCAGCTAAAATCTTGTTTATTTCAAGTTATGTAGATTTCTTCTTTTCTTTCACCAAGTGGCAGTGAAGAACAAATTGATCACCATCTTCTTTATAAGCATCTTTTACATGTTTTCAGAAGACTGTTGTCATTCCGTTCATTTTGAGGTCTTCTTTTCTTTGTGCTTTCCCTCTAGGGCCTAAAAGTCTTTCATGTTTGGTAACTAGGTACAGTTCACCAATGGAGAAATTCTTCCCTGTCGTTTCATGTCATCCAAGAACGTGCCATCCACTTTGCATAACTGCAGTGTTTCACTGATCTGCTTTAATTCACATTTACTGATGAATTGTGTGTCCCACTTATAAGTAGAGTCGGTCAAATTATACGTTTGCAAGTGTGCAAATTGATGATAGGTATTAGTACAAAAGCAAGCCTTATCACTTGATGCCATACAGCTGCTACCATCGCAACTACTGATTTGACAGTCTGAGTTTTTTGTTTGTTTATTTTTAAATGAATTACTTTCAGCCTGGGAACGTTGGTTCTTGTGATAGGGGACTTACCAGGATGTTTATTTTTCATTTTCAGTATTATGGAATTGCATTTATCATGTAGTTGTTACTTTTAAAAAACATGCTTGTGGTATAACTTTTAAAAATTATTTTTCCAGGGCCACAATATCCTTTACAGTTTGAGACTCAAGAAGGGTCTGTTTATGTGGGACTCAAGAAGGGTCTGTTTATGTGGAAACTGAAACTTTAAGTTTTCTGCATATTTCCACAGCTGGTAAAAATCGGCGTCTCTGTAGTTACCATGCCACGCTTGCCTTTTGCATAATGATATTCTCAGTGCCAATACAAAACAATAAAAAAGCAGTTCATGTTTGTAAAAAAAAATACATATATATATATATATGTCACTAATATACACTACAGAAGAGGAACTTGATGCCAGCTTGGGGTTCTGTGAATCTCTACCTCTCTGATTTCTCAGGTTTCCTGCTTTTGCATCTAAGAAGGACTTTCCACTGGTTTCAAGCAAACATAAATGTTTTCTAGTGCTTCTTTAGCATGGGCTTGAATTGGTTCTATCTTTCCATATTCATTATTCTTCCTTTTTTCTCAGAGTATGTTAGTATGCTTTCCAGGGCTGGTATGTCAAGCAGAAAATTTCAGTCTTTGAATTGCACTGGATGTTGAGCCTGTACTGAGCCTTGTGCTGGTTCAGGCTTGTGTTTTTATATAAGCATTTTAAAAGCAAATGATAACCTTTCATTACTTTTTCCAGCCATGTCAGGAAAACAAAAATCAACAGCCTTTTCTTCCTTAGCACAAACTCATTCTTAAACTACTTTTTTTTGTTCCCCACTGGACGGTCCTGTGGTTTTTTTTGTTGTTGGTTTTTTTGTGCTTTCTCCTGACAGCAGGAAAACCCAACCCACAATTTGACAGATGATCCTGTTAACTCTCGATCCAGCAAATGAGTACCTATTCTGACCAGATGAAAGCCACGCACCAAACTGATCAGCAGCATTATGTTTCTTTGTATTATGAATATTCAGTGCTATGGCCATTTTGTGTGCTACCCATGAAAAGTGAAGTCGGATATGTAAGAAAGTGATGAATGTCTTTTCAGCAGGCAACAGCTCCGAAATGCAGCATGAGCAATTCTTCAGTGTTGAGGAAAACTTACAGCACTGAAGTGTAGTGTGCGTGTAAGATAAGACTTCAGAGTCCTGTGTATTTTCTCACAGAGTTTGAAGCAAACCTGTAGACATAAAAGCACATAGGAAAAATCACTCATTGTGCTGGCCAGCATCAACACCAGCGTCTGATGGTATCAAAACAAATAAGACTTCAGAAGTCCATTTCATTCTATGGAACGAAGCTGGCATTGCACCGGCCCTTGTTATTCAACTTCTGCCTGTGAATTTTCATGAAGACAAACCAGTGTTGATTCCTAATTCTAAATTTGTCCCCGAATTCCACTTGAATCAAGTCAGTGATGTGTTTCCTTCCTGAAACAATGGTCTATACCTGTCCTGTAGGTGTTTCAAGAGTTTTATTCTGTCATGCCGATAGAAATGGCTTTCAGAGTGCCTCTCCTAGTCTCTTCATAGCCTTTCATGACCACTTAGAGCATTATAGCACTTCATTACCAAGGATTTCCTAGTGAGTCACACAATGTATTTTCAGTTTGTGCACTTCTCAGCCTGGCAGACAAAAAGCAGTATATTCTGCTTCCTTCAGAAATACACCAGTATCTAAAATCTACCAGGTGGCAACTTTAATAATTTGAATCAGCTTGGCTTTAGCATTATGCCTGGCTTTGTCTACCAGATTAGACACCAGGTTTGTAGGGCAGTGGAAAATCATTCAGTCTCTGGATCTGCACAGTGTGGTAAATATACTAAGCATTGCTTTAAATTAGCATGCTCAAGTACTGACAGCACTGCACAGGGTAACATTCTGAATATTTATACTGTTTTGCAGACATTGTGGGGTCTGTGGTATATACATATCCTTTGTGAGAGGAAGTTCTTCAATACCATCATCCAGATGGGATACTGTTTTCCAGACACCTACTAGGGTCTATGCAGGCACTAAACTGAAGGAGGAAGGAAGGAAGGATGATTGCCTAATTTAAAATAACTGCTGCGATTGTGAGCGATGTTTCAGTTTAGTGTGGATCCTATAACTACTGTGCTCAAACTCTGCTTTTTAAAGTCTACAGAACTGGGCTGTTTATTATGAGAGAACCAAGGACCAGTTTTGGTTGTCTTTTTTTATATCCAGAGAACAATATGAAAAGTTGGATATGAAATTCCAACAGGCCTTACTTCCAGAAGACTGATCAAAATGGGAAATAAGTGCACTCTTACCACCTACAGTGGGTCGGTAATGGTTACAGTGTCTTGAAGAGCCAGAGCTACCGTAGGATAAGAAATCACTTATTGATATCCTTTCATTGTTGAAAGATCTTCCTAGAAAGAAAATCTGAGGTGTAGCATGGGGAAAGAGCTCTGTTAGGAACAGCGTAAAACTGAATCCGAATTTTCTTTTTCAATTTGATCTCAAACAGTCATCTTTCATCTAGATTTTTCTATGTCAAGTGAATTGGATGTAGCCAGGTCCTGAACATTGTGCTTAAGGGGAAAAAAATGTCTTCGCACTCTTGGCAAAACAGTAGTAAGAAGCCATTACACACATACAAAAAAAGGAAGAATGTTTTCTGTGAGGCAGACCAAGACAGAAAAGAAGAAAATACTTCTGATCACTGGAATTAGCTCATGAGCAGCTTGTGGTGATGTCATTTGAAGAATCCTGCAGTGCTGTGGTCTATGTTGCCCCTATTCTGTAGAACTTGGGGAGAAGAGCTTCTATTTCTGAGACTGGCCATTTGAAATCCACACTTAGAATCAGATACGTTATTTTAGTTACATGGATAGGCTCCTAGGAGAGACTTATTCTCAGACAGATGGCTAGGATATTTTCTGGATAGAAGATTAAAAAAAAAAAACTAGAGGACTCTTCAATACTATGTCTGTGAAAAAACTTGTTAAATGAAGAAAAAAATATTTGCATAGCTTCTCTTTCATTTCACTTTGTGCTTACAAAAGTCTAGGAGTCCTCTAGACTTGACTAAAATAGATTTCTGACATACCAGATGTTTTGTTACATTTTAAAATCAGACAGTCAATAATTCATTTTTTTTCTAGACACTATTACCTATCTGAAACTCTTAAATCTGTGTGTACCTGAAAGGCTTTTTCTTTTAAAACTTTGATTGCTTCTCTTTCAACCTGAAATGGCAAAATGAAGAACAGAAAATAATTTAATCTGCAGTGAATTACATGCAAATGAAAGATGTTATTCTTGCAAGTACAGCTGTGTGAGTTGTTGTTAAGCCAGTGTTCGGGCGTAAGAAAGAGAATCTCCAGTTGAACATAACCACTTCAGTCTCCTTCCTTTCCTTTTCCTTCTGTCTGAAATGTCTGTCTTTTGTGTTGTTTCTCTTTGTTCATAATGTGTCTGTGCACTCTGGAATGGCATGCAACATAATGTCATGCTGGCAGTAAAGAGCAAACACCAACTTAGTGATGCCTCTCGGTTTTATCACGGCTGTCTGGGCAGCTATATACAAAATTCCAGTAAAAGTTTGCGACTCCTTATTTCTTTTTTGTTTAAGCCAAATTATTTAACTTAGAGTAGTGAAAAAGACTGAATTAGTGGCAGGTGTCTAGAGATACTATGCCATTGACAGTGCTTCAACTGTAGGGGCATGTAATGTGTGAGTTATTTCTTTAATTTCTTATCCAAGACCTAATCAATCTGCTATCATTTTAGGCCCAACAAAGAGAACACAGGAGAAGTGAGTGAGTCTGGAGCGTCTGTTGTCAAACATGGTCTTAAAGCAGAAAAAATCTTCATGCAGGTTCACTATTTGAAGGTGAGTGTTGTAAGCGTGTTTTTTATTGGAATTGATTTGTTAATATTATAATGACTTCTTTCTTTTAGACGTCAGCTAATTCATAGCCTGTTCTTTGTTCCTGGCTTAATTTCTTGCAGGGCTACTTCCTTTTGCAGTCTCTGGCAAGGACAATGGGGGAGGCTTCATACCTTGCATCATTACGAAAATTCGTCCATAAGTTTCACGGGCAGCTTGTCCTTTCTCAGGTACTCTGCTTTGGGTTGTTCCCACTGTTTGAAAAACAAAAGAACTAAATCATTAGTTTTGGTTACAGTGTGAAAAGAATGCAGCAATTGTAACTTGGCAACACTGGTGAAATACTTACCTTCTAAGGGGCAGTACCTCTCTTCAGGGTGATATATAAATCTGATACTCTGCTTGTATCTGATACTGTAAACAGTAGATGGAACTTTTTTTTGAAAGTATCAGCCCAATACTCTGAAAAGCCAATATTCATAGATGCTGATGTTTTCCAAGATAATGATCATTTACTCTACTGGAGTTGTCTGCTGTACTCTCTTAACTCCCAAGTCTGGGTTGTGGTCAGGCCCAAATAGTGGGTGTGGTCTTTTCCCAGATACTTCTCTTTCTGCTAGAGGAGAAACACAAAGTAGGAAAGTAACTGAGAATTTCTGTAAATAGTACGTGTGTGCACATTGCTTTCTGACTTTATTTCCTTCCTCTCTGCTTGCTGCTTCATTCAGTGCTTAAAATTTCACAGCCTTTATTAACAGGGCAGTGTCTTCCCCACCAGGTTAGTGTCCTATCACTCTGTGGCCTTATACCTACCTTCATTACAGTCTCATCACAGTCTCTCTATAGGTTTCCTCATCACAGTCCGTACTCCCATCCTTTCTTTCTAAAACATTCTTCTGTCTCTCTCTCTGTTGCTGAAGAATTAATCCACAAGGGATATTGAAGATGTTTCCTCTTTATTTCATTGGATTTTCCAGCAGTAGCTGCCTGCTCTTGAGAGCACTATTTCTCATAGAACAGGATTTCTCCCTGGACTGGTGAAGGCTTGGCTTAAAAAAAAAAAAGCAAAAACCATTGAATTAGGAATCAGAATCTGCTCTCCCCCAGTCCAACTGTGGATATGTTAATCATTTGAGGTACAGACTTAGCTTGTCCTCTTCCTGACACAAATGATGTATAATTATTTCAGACAAAGTAGAACAGCTTCAGAAGGACAGATTGAGCAAGCCATAACACAGAAGCAACCCCTAGGTAGACCATCCACCTGGGGTTATAAATAGAAATTTACCTTCCCCCAGGCCTTTCTGAAGGAGTCCTCTAACCACTGGTTTTAGTATTAAAGGAGGGACTATCTTGTCCTTCACTTCTCTGTTTTGAAGTGAGATGACATAACTCTGAACCTAAAGTTCTAGGAAACCTTGTCGTTGGTGATGAAACCCGCTTATTCCCTGGCACTGCAGTTTGTTGCTTCTTTAGTGCTGCAAACAACCATTTGTGGGGGCTCTGTGAACCAGATCACTGAAGTGATCACTGTTAAAAAGAGGCGTGGAACAAAAGGCACAATGTGTCAAACAGTTGGCATAACTAGAAGATGGCAGCATCATGGGAGTGAGGGGTAGCGGAAGAGAGAAGAGGAGGAGTATGAGTGAATTGTTGAAGTTAGTTTCTTCACTAAAGATTGTCTCTGTGGGAATTACATTTTAAATTGTAGACAGGTTTCAGGAAGGTGAACATGAGACAAGGGGCCTCGGATCTTGAGGAAATGGATTCTACCACACACTTATCTCTTCCAGCAGCAATGAGTCTTCGCTCAGTGTGCTGGCTGTTCTGGATCTCATCCTTAAAGATCTGTCTGTCCGTATGTATTTTACAAATAGCCCAGAGACCTGTGGATTTGTTTGGATGTCACGTCACCCGAAAGGGAGGCATAGTAGCTCTATGCAGCAACCCCAAATGAACGCTTAGGGTATTAAGGGAATTAACGTTTCCACTGCTGGAGCTGTTTCCTGCACCATGTCACTGAGACCCTGAGCAGTTATATTTGGCACATTGTGGAAAGCGCCAGTGGACTATAGCAGCATTTTCTGTACCAGGGTGCTCAAAATCATGAATATGAAACGTCACTATTACACAGCTAGAAACTTTTTGAAAACTACAGATACTCTGAAATTGCTGAGAGCAAGAAGCAGTCCAGTGCTTTAAGCTAGCTGTAAGAGAGGTGCTGGTGTTTTTGTGAGGAAAAGGTTAGCTTATTACATCCCCTGGTTGACATGAAATCAATTATGTCAGTAGACTGCATAAATACTGCAATGCGTTAGAAGCCCTAGCACGTTATGCTATTAGTCACTTTAGCTAGATAGCATTGCAGTGGAACTGCTAATCTAGTGGTAATTTCTCTTTTTGCTTTGTATGCGGCTGTGAAATGTCAATTTGCGGACTAACTCTAGTCTCACAAGCAGAAATACTATATGCTGCTTCTGATTCATTTTTGGTAATTGAATAAAAATGTGCTCAGTGTTTTTTATTTATTCAAGCAAGAATAAATTATGCTTTTATTTAAAGTTTCTTAGGCTACTTTTTACTTGAATATGTGCAATATGTGCATAGCTTAGATCAAAAATATATACTTTCCTTCATTTGAAGGTATTTGCTTTGCTGGAAAAAGTAGAGCTACATGGTACACAATAAAAGCTATACAGTATACTATGAAAGTATACTGATTGTGTACAATAAATATTCTTACCTTGAGTGGGATGCTTTGAACATTCCTAGATGGCTGCACTTGAGAGTCAGGTCTAAATGGGTCACAAGGCCATAGTGATGCTTCATGTGCTTTTGCCTTGTTTCATTGCAGCCTAAACCCACCTCCCATTAAAATGGCTGGAAAGAGTCAATCTGCAGAGTAGGCAATTGTGTATTAATAAATGCATGGCAAGACTGAAGTTTGGTCACTATGCTAAAGAAAAAAATGCACAGGGGATAGGCTGTATCCGATCATAAATGTATTTACTTTCTCTGTAAGAAATCTTAACGTAAAGGTTATATTTATATAGGTATCTGCTATAGGTAGATAAGCAATCACAGTAGGAATTGGAAATGTAAAAGCAATGCCGCAAAACTAGTACACAAAGTTTATTATTCAAGTTCTTTCTTGAGCAAGCATGCTGTCAGCATTTAAATGCATAAAAGATTTAAAATAAATAGAGGTACAGGTGGTAAGTTTAAATATTGTGGTGTTGTACTTTCACCTTGGCCAAAATAATTGTAAAGGTTCTCAGCCTTACAAATTGTGGGGAAGAGGGAAAGTAAAAACAGTGAAAATAATTGCCCACATTCTGAATACTAGTCTTGTTTTCAGTGGTGTTTGTAGTATTTTTCCTAGATGAGAGCCGCAGGTGCAAGGAAATGACTTCAGATGTGAAACATTAATCAGTTTGCTTTTTTCCTTCATTTTGATTGCGTGCTCAGTACTTTTTTAATAGTAGTTTTTGTTTATTTTAGTTGAGTTAGCAACAGACGAGTAAAGCAAGTCTGGAGTCTTTGAGGATTTAAAAAAAAATCTTCCATTTTTCTTTCTGTGGGAGAATTCACTTAGTAAGTGCTTTGAATGAACTTTTAAAATAATGAATGGAGTGTTACTGACTATAAATAAATAGAAAGGAGCACACGTTGCTGATATTCCACATGCAGTTAAAGCTGTTTTTCAGTTGGATATCGAAATAAGAACACCTTGGGAATTGAATTGTTTGCAGACTCTCATTTTCATGTAGTTCCATCTGCTATAATAATAACCTAAGGTCTGTCATGTTCGCCCAGTCTGATAGAGTTAAAATTTGCTATAGTACAATGACAACGGAGAAGGCAGCTCCTCAAAAAATTGATATGCTGTGCTTGAAAGCTTTAAAGGCAGATGTTGTTTACATACACACCCCTGTATGCATAACTACATCAACATGTTCCTGCACACCCATTTGCGTAGGTTGCAGTAATTTACCATTATTGTCAATTTTCTGCAAAAAATTGGTACCCGCACGTACAAATCATTGTTCATCTATTTGCTTGCAGAACTCTTTTAACTAGAATCGGAAGTCTAAGCATGTGGCACGCGTATATTTTGACATGCCAAGCTCTAGAATCTTTTCTTTAGGTAAAATTTATCTAAAAATTTATCTCTGCCATTTGGCTTCAGCCGTCCCACACTTCCCAGCCTGAGAGCTGGAGTGAAGGACCGCTCATGTCAGCGGGGCTTGGCACCGATTCTGGCACTTGCCCGCCCGCAGCAGCCTCGAGCACGGGGATCTTTGCCTTCTGCACTCCTACATGTTGGAAAACAGAAGAAGATGGGACAGCTTTACTCAGATTGAGTCAAGTTGCTGTTCTAATTCTTGCACAAACGAGCAGATTTCTACTTTTTTTTTGTTGTTAGCAAGGCCCTGTGCAACCTTCATTCAGTTTCCTAATACATACACACAATGAGACAGTCTTTAATTGCTGTATGATCACAGTGTCCCCCTTCCGCTCCACCAAAGACCTTTGCCTCATTTATGTGGGATAGGTGTTGCTCACATATGAGCAGCTGGTCAGTATTTTGTTCTCTGTTCATTGTTCAGTGCTTGGCACTGTGCTTTGTTTACCATACAGTACGCTTTTCCTTCTGTTAGCTTTTTAAGTTTTAATAAGTATACGGAAATAAAATAAATTGCTCCTTTGGTCAGACATTTTAACCTGAGATTAACTGTATCTAAAATACTTACATATATGGTAACTGATTAATACATAGACCGGTTAGTTGTAGTGCACGTTTTAACAACCCATTGTATTAGTATATATCTTATCCATACTTCAGATACAAATATCTTGAAAGAAGGAATGATGGATTATGTTTGAAGTATAAATAAGATTGGGTTAATAAAAGTGATTAATATATTATGAGGCAATTTTTTTTTCCTTTGTGAGAAAACTTCCTATTTCTTTTTTCTGATGTACGTTCTCAAAATAGATAAACTATGTATTGTAAAGGACAGAGGAAGAACACAATGAAGTAGGGCTAGAAATGGGCATGGAGAAGTCAGCAGAGAGGAATGAAGCTAGGAGGACCCCAGATATGTTATAATCATGTCTAATACAGATGACTGATCAAAAAAAAAAAGTCAGTTAGTTCAGTCATGTATTTTAATATCTGACAATATAGGTATATAAAAATCCCAGTAGCTTTCGGTGTCTTCTGTCCCAAGTACCAAGATCTTAAAAGAAGCAGTAAGTTGTGCACGTATAATTGCCTTCTATCAGGAAAGTGTCCCATATGTCTGAAAACATGTCTTGGACCTTTCTGATAAATCCTTCACATAGTTTCTAAACTTACTAAGTTTTGAATATCAGTCTTCAACTGTGGAATACTTTTTTGCATTTCCACTTTTGTTATAGTAGTTTCTCACTTCTCTGCTGAGCTAAAGTTTTCCTATTTGCCTAACTTCTTCTATTTAGCATCCTTCAGGCTTAAAATTAATAGTAGCTTGTTGTGCAATTTAGTTTGATAGGGAAAAAGATTAGCTTTCAATTAAATTCCAACTAGAGCAAACAGACAAGGGAGCACTCCCAAGGCATGTAGGTTTTTTGTGCCTGCTGAATTACAGCTCCAGCCTTTGTTTGATTTAGTGGGCTATATTTCAAGTGATCATAGTCAAATGCATCTTCTATACGATTTTCTGCTAGATAATCTTAAGCTGAAGTCTGAAGAATAATTGAGGGCTCTATCTAGAACCACTGGTATAAAACAAGGATAGTTCCTCATCTTTTTCCAGTGTGTGTATGTATAGTTTTAGTTGTTTATACACAATAAATAGAAGGGACCTGTGTTTAATTCAAATTTTTAGGCAGTGGTATATTTAGTATTGCTAATGGACAGTGAGAATCTATGTATTTTCTGAAGAAATTAAAGCAATTCGGCAGAGTCTGAGACAACATAGACTCCAGGGTCAAGGTGTTCAGAGACGGCGTTTTCCACCTTGGATGCTTAGATTTCTCTGACTGGGATCTTGTTTGAACCTTCCCGTCAATAAGGCAAGGAGGAATCACTTTTTCAGTAAATTAACTCATAATCAACATACTTTTTCCAACTTACGTGGTCCAAGAATGTGCTTACCTGCTCTAAGATGTTTGAAATGCAGGAAGTAGTAGATGTTATAGGTAAAAGACCTGGGGCTCTGACAGAAGCACTCTTACAAGTATTGGTGGGGGTAATTTAGGACTTACTTCCCTTAGTTATTCACCCTATACCTAAGAAGACAAGTATATTGTCTTGAGCTAGAACAGTTCAGTCTTGTGTGTAAGCTTAAACTTATGATGAAAGTTGCTTTGTGCAAAACCACTGGACTGTGAATTTGGGCAGCTCAGGCAGAGACAGAGGACAGTAACCTCAATCAGAGAAATGCGAGGCAGGGAAAGGACATCTAGGGGCTGCTGTCACCTTAAACGTCCACAGGAAAGTTCACCCCTAAGATGCTTGTCAGACCCACTGGTGTGCTATGTTTTCCTCGTTGCCATGACTGTTGGTCATTTGACTGTAGGGAATTGCCAGTAACCTAAGTGCAGTTCATTGGCAAGGGATAAAGGGGCAAAAAATTCATATTTTAGATGGAACTAGTCAGCGGCTCTGTAGTCCAGGGCTTAAGCTGTTTTCCTGTCTGGCTACAGATTGCTGTCTGATAATAGAGCACAGAGCTGGGGAGTCTAAAAATGCTCACTCTGATTGGGAGTTATAGTCTGTAGAGGGGGATTCTGGTTTTGTTACCAAAACCTCACATGAAAGATTTCAACATTTTGCTGATTTTGTTAAATAAAAGGCAGGAGGATGAATGAGGAGGGAATTCAAAATAATCATGATCCTAGGAAGGGTGCTTATTTTTATTATACGTACTTTTCCCCCTAAAAGGGACAAAGTAACATTTACCACTTAGTTAAGTCATTTACAAACTGTATAATTGATGGGGATAGTTTAACTTTGACTGAGTCTGTAATTTCCATAGGAAATTGGATATAAATGCATTTGGAGTTCATTTGTTGCCAACCAAATGTCCTTTCAGATATATCACTTCCAGTCGTGAAGTCTCCATTTCTTCTATGTACCCCCCATTCTTATTGCAGTTAGAGAATTTAAATGAAATTATGCATTGGTCAAACAGTACTTGAAATGCATTGATTTCATTCTTTCCACAAACAAGAGGCTATCATCTATCCTTTAATATTCAGTGTTCCCTATTTAATATCAACATGTGTGAGCAGAGAGAGATATCTGTCTGACTCTCCACAACAGGGCAGGAATAAAACATCCTAGTGATTGTTAGAATGCAAGAATTGGCATTATCATATAGCGTCCTCAGTGACGGAATAAAAGATCTTCTCAACCCAGATTTGCCTGTTTCCTGCTTCAAATAGTCTCCATTCCCAGTTCCTCAAGGTTACTTCTCTCAACCTGCTCCTCAGTCATTAGATCCCAGCTCTTCTTTAACTCAGACATGCCACATGCATTAGCAGTGCAAAGAAATTTTCTCCTTGATCTCAATTCACAGTCTATTTCCAGATTTGATCTGGTCAGCAGCAGCCCAGAGTTGTCGTTGTGAAGAAAATTGTTGGCTTCAGTCTGGAACATGGTGAGAGTAGACAAGAGTCTTCAGGGAATTTAGTTATGAGGGTCTTGCAAATCCTTAGTGCACACGTGCTAACTCATTTTTCCAAAGGCTTTTTCAGTTTGACCAAACATGAATAAAATTCCACAAACTGCAGAGTAACAGTTTCTGTATATAGAGAAATGCTGTTTTCTAGCCTCTGCATTTCCAGCCCAGAAAAAAACAGAAATGTGGGGAAGTGAGTTTGTGTAACAATATGAATATGACTTGATTTGTTAATAATGCAGTACTGTGGTGGCAGGTGATTATTAACTTATATTTTCTTGCTGGCTTCATTGAACTAGTTGTAACAAAGTCAAAAAACAATATTATTGTTTCATGATCGGATTCAGCATTTATTTGTAACTGCCCTGGCCATATCACAAGCCTTGTTTCAAAATGTAAGGTCACTAGAACCTCTTAAAGGAAATGCCATCAAAATTTACAAACAGCACATTATCCCCTGACTTTGCTCTTTGGCACTTCTGAACCATTTTATCTGAGAAAGAAGGAAAAAATAGCCTGACAATAAAATTTCAGTCCAGATGGTTAAAGTTTGGCAAAGTTATATGCAACTGAAAACTCAGACCCATAATGGGATGTGGCAGGCAGACTTGATAATAGGCAAATGTTAAAAGACGTGCCAATATGAGATAAGTGATAATTTGTCATTCTATTCTGTTTTGGAGCATTGAAATAGAAGCAGTTAAAATAAGACCAAAGAAGATAAATCCTAATTTTAAGAAAATGTGTAGAATGATTGTTAGTGCTTTATTCTTAATGGTTATTTGGAAAAATGAAGATAGCCTTATTCACAAAGCAGATGTTTAATTTCACAGTACAATATACAGAATGTGAAAACACCTCTAATATCAGAGGTATCTTCAAGTAGACCATAGGATAGATTATAAAACATTGATGCAATCTGATCAGGGATTCTGGTTGGATTAATGTAAACAGAGCAATATGTAATATAGCGCCAAGGATAAACACTTCAATATTGCTTTTCAGATGCCTCATTCTTGAAATAACTCTAATGATGATCTCGTCTGCATTTTTCATATTCTTTATTTCCATGGAAGTTTAGTCTGTGCCTCCAGCACAGCTTCCACAAGTGGAAGGAGTCAATAGTTCTCTACTGAGAGAGAATTCTGTACTGAGACATACAGAATAATGGTACAGAACTGCAAGTAATAGTGTGAACTAAGGGGATTTTGCACTGCATCATCATGTGAGCAATACATTGTAGTTGGCCGAGCCATCCCTACGTAGTTAGTACAGTTAATGATAGCAATCTTGCCACAGCAGCACTGAGCTCAGCACTGTGTAATTCACCTTTCTTCATAAGCAGATTTTGCAGCCAATGCAACCTAGCGTGGACTTGGGTTGTAAACTAAAGGAGGAAGACTCAGGGTTACCAATAGTTTCAATTTGAGGAGTCAGTTCTGATTGCAACTACTTGCAATCAGAAATCAGCCTGCCCTCATACATTGCAATCAGGAACATCAAGAGGCTATGAAACTTGTCTCCACAAAGGTTAGTATTAATAAAGTTGATACATTGCTTTATAAAATAGCATATAAATGGAGAATTTATATTAATAACTCCTCTTTCTATGCAGTTGCTGAGGAGAACAAAGCAGGTAGCGTATCATGGCTAAGCGATTGTCGTTAGAATTGGATTGTGTACAGCATGGGGTGCTTTTGAGTGACATCAAGGGTAACTTATGAAGAAGGCATATCATACTGTTACAAGTGAGGATGATAGTAATACTGTTCCACTGGCCTAGCACTTTCCTTCTAAATCCGGGAAAAAAATTCTAGCTGCTTTTTCTTTGAAGAATTTTACTCCATGGTTGATATGATTGGCAGCAACAGCATGAATTTTGTCAAGAGAACAAGGAGCAGGTGTGGTCTTTAGATCACATAGTGCCAAAAGCAAAAAAGCGTGTGGTCATGCAGTTAAAGAAAAGGAAGCATACTGGAGATAACATAAAGGACAGCCTTAATTCTGGTGTTTCCTAGCTTTTGAGTATGTGAATCTGCAGCCTTTAACAGTGCTCTTTTAATATAGTTTGCGTGTGTATTATAGATTAAATCAAAACGAATATGTAGGATTGTGTTAAAATAGCAGGCTTTTCAAGCCTATTTGCTTTCAATACTGACACTTTTTGCCTGAGTGGGTTGGAAAACTGACAAACATAACGTATGTGGTATAAATAATTGAGCAGCGTAACACCATAGTGGATATATAAACTTCTTTCTTACCATTCTGCAATCTACAGTGCTTAAAAATCCAATGCTGGTTTTGTAGACACAAGAGATACCTCTTGATAAACATACTAACTGTCGTGCTCTGTTCATTTTCCAGGATTTTCTTTACATGCTATTGGAAGACATCCCTGAACAAAAAGAGTAAGTGAGAATCAGGCTAGAAAAGTTAAAGAAGAAAGTAGAAATCTGATCTAAATATTAGTTGTGCTGGTTAGAAATAGTAGCTGAGATTCATATTTATTGTTGTTCAGAGTATTGTTTTTAAATGCATGTATATGCGTGTATCTGTGCATCTCTTTCTCTGAAATCCCCTACATGCAAGTCTCACACACGTGAGACTTGCTGTGATGTTGCTATCCCATGCTCCCTGCCAGCAGCATCTTTAACTCACAATTAGTAGGGCAGTAGTGAAGTTTGTTTGCTATGTGATCTGAAAGTGCCAGGCCCAGCTGCTCAGCTTCATCTGTGATCTTCCCGCCAGCTGCTGCTGGCACATGGCACCTCAGAGGAGAGGAGGTCCCAGACCACTGCCCTGCATCTGGGAAAGCACAGAAGATGCTTTCTCGCAAGCTGGAGCTCCTTGCCGGCCCCTGCCTGTCTCAGAGTTTGCCAGATGGGAGAAAGATGGAAATCACTAATGGAAATCCAATGTTAAGTGCCTTGTAATGCTGTTCAGAATCCTCCTGCATGTGACTGGCTGAAGATGATGCAGCTAGTCTGGAACAGAGCTTTGAATCCACCAGGATTCAAATCCATTTCCATTTATTTGTTGGCTTGCTCTGAGCTAATACAGACTATAAATAGAGGCCTTTTTGGTAGTGGAGCTTGGCAGATAATAATTTCTTCAAATAGTTCATTCACTGGAAAATGCAGTTTAGGGGAGCAGAATTCCAGAATTCTTCATAAATTTGAGTGAGTTGTCACTGAAGAAAAGGGAAGAGGAAATTCATAGAAGTCAGAGGTATTGAGTTTTTTAGTGAAATGCTTCTATTATTCATTTCAAAATACTTTCATTTGCTTTTTCCTTTCAAAGTTACGTTTCTATTTAGAAGCATTGAAATGTCATAGGGAGGGAAAAAGATCATAAAAAACCACTTATATTTTCTTTTCTTGGGAGAACTTTCATTTTCAGTTGTTTCAGGGAAAAAGATTCTTTCCAAATAGTCCTTTCAGCCAGCAAACTAGAAAATCATTTACTTGCAGCAGTTTCCCTGTGAAGATGGAAGAGGTAATGTCCTTTTCTTCCTTAACCGCGTTTGCATAACCTTTGACTACTATTATTAGTTGAGTGAAGGAAATAAAGGACATGTCCTTTGCCAAATGTGCTTGTGCATGCATGTGCGCGCGCACGCGCGTGCACACACACACACACACACACACACACACACACACGTAATAATTCTAATAGCGAAGTCAGTGTCATCTTGACAGTTAAGAGATTTCTGCATACTTTGGAGTGACTAAACTCATGCTTTCCACCAAAATGTGTGCATGGGGAAATACGCTGTAAAAAATGGGCAGTTTGTAGTTGTGGACTTTTTTAGAGTCTGGGTAGTCATTTCGTTCTTATGCTCCACAGCGATGGAAACAGAATTTTAACTATGGTTTTGTAATCCGGATGTAGTGAGCTACATAGTAACAATATCTCCCAGGAAAGAGCCAGGATAGAAGAGATATTTTAAATATACTCCTATTCCATGTCTTCAAGATAAAAATTTTCTTTAGAATGAAACTACAGGCCTGTCAGCCTCACCTCCGTCCCTGGAAAAGTGATGGAACAGCTCATCCCAGATGCCATCTCTAAGCATGTGGAGAGCAAGAAACTGATCAGGAGTAGTCAGCACAGATTCACCAAAGGGAAATGATGAGGGGACTGAAGCATCTCTCCTCTGAAGAAAGGCTGAGAGAGCTGGGCCTCTTCAGCCTGGAGAAGAGAAGACTGAAAAGGGATCTGATCAATATGTACAAGTATCTGAAGAGGATGGGGCCAGATTCTTCTCCGTCGTGCCAGCGACAGGACAAGAGGCAACTGGCACAAACTGAAACACAGCAAGTTCCACCTGAACATGAGGAAAAACTTCTTCATGTGAGGGTAACAGAGCACTAGAACAGGTTGCCCAGAGAGGTTGTGGAGTCTCCTTCCCTGTAGATAGTCAAAACCCACCTGGACGCGATTCTGTGCAATGTGCTCTAGATGACCCTGCTGGAGCAGGGGGGTTGGTCTAGATGATCTCCAGAGGTCCCTTCCAACCTTGGCTGTTCTGTGATTCTGTGATGGCCTGTAAGAGCTGTGGCAGGGAAAGGTGGCAGGGAAGCTACTGATCATTGAAATACCGTGTTTTGTTGGATCATGAGTTTATTTTGGGTGGTGGTATTTTTTTTTCAATGAAATATCTTGGAGTGCTGTTTCGTTTACGTTTATGGGATATGGGTTTCCAGCCCAAAAATAATCAGGAAAAAGAAATGGAATATATGGGGAAGCAAATTATTTAATGACATGAGTATATGTAGATTCATTTAAAAAAACTCCATTTTCCTTCCTTTTTTCATTTGTGTTTCTCCAAAGCCTAAACCTATTACAAAGTCTTATTTGAATAAGGGGATCTGGTTTTCAGCCTAGGTACATGCCAAAATATTTAAACTTTTAGTGAGACCACTGCTAAGGAAGTATGGCTGCATTTCATTTGCATCACCGTCTGGAATGTATAGACAAAATTTCAGGCTATGGTCATGTTTTTTACAACCAGGCATACAGCATATCTGAACTTACCTACTGCCAAAATTACCTTGGATGAGAACATCAACAGGAATATCAAGAGTAATAGAACATCTAGACATACAGGCCTTTATTTCTTATCTGCCACAAAGATGCTTTTCCACTCTTGAGTGCGCTCTGTTATTATACAAATAATTGCCTGAGGAAACAGCAAAGGAAGAAAAGATAAAAAAATTAAGTAGTTTTAGAGATCTTCTACTGATGGGTGTTTTGTTGCACAAAGTTTCAATCGTAGAAATAAAACATTTAAAGATGAGAGCAACAGTTAAAGCTGTCGTGGCACATAAAATCTCCCAGACTTAGGCAATTCAACCAAGTAAGATTTTAGTGTTAAAATTAAGAAAAGCTTATTACTTGAAAAATATTAAGCACTCCAACATCCTAATGTTTGTAATAGAGACTGGCCTAAATAATAATTAAGAAAATAGTAGTATGGAATCAGGCCAAACTCCACTTTCATCAGGACACGATCCTGAGCAATGGGCTCTAGGTGACCCTGCTTGAGCATGGGGGTTGGACTAGACTTGAACTAGACTTCCAAATTTTATATAGCCAAAGGTAGATTGGTAACCTCCTAATCTGCTTATCTATCTCAAACAACAACATCACAGTAACCATTTTTTAATTGTTATTGCATGAATTGAAACCTGAACCAGAGCTAGCATCTATGGAAAATACCCTTATTCATGCATTTAATTTGTTTTTACATAGGGATGAGAAACACAGCTTCACAGCGCCATTTTCTCCATGATTTTTTCAGAACCTAAGCTAAACTTAAAGGGCAAGATTTTCTTGGAAAAAGCTATGCAAAATAATAAAACTACACTTGCTAACCTACCTTCTGTTGCTTTTAGAGCCAGCACCGGCTCATTTCAAAACACTGCCTTTGAAATTTGAACTAGACTTCCAAATTTTATATAGCCAAAGGTAGATTGGTAACCTCCTAATCTGCTTATCTATCTCAAACAACAACATCACAGTAACCATTTTTTAATTGTTATTGCATGAATTGAAACCTGAACCAGAGCTAGCATCTATGGAAAATACCCTTATTCATGCATTTAATTTGTTTTTACATAGGGATGAGAAACACAGCTTCACAGCGCCATTTTCTCCATGATTTTTTCAGAACCTAAGCTAAACTTAAAGGGCAAGATTTTCTTGGAAAAAGCTATGCAAAATAATAAAACTACACTTGCTAACCTACCTTCTGTTGCTTTTAGAGCCAGCACCGGCTCATTTCAAAACACTGCCTTTGAAATGAGCTTATGACACTTAAGGGAATTGCACTGCTCTGATAGCACGCTAATCCAGGCCAAAACACCACCAGTGAGTTGCTCAGTCTCTCCTGAAACTGACTCTTTTCTCAAGGGCAAAGTCTGCAGCGCTGCCATCTCTCTGCTTACAGCACCCTCAGTTTCAGCTAAACCCTTGTCATATGACTATGTAGTTTGCTTTGTTTGTACTTTCACACTTTTTTTTTTAAACTTAGGATGTTCCTGTTGGCACCTATCAAAAAAGCAACTGTTTTTATCCTACTCCAGGCATTTGCTAGTTTTTTTCCTCAAACATATTAGTAATATGCAGACTGTTGCAAAGATGTTATCTGAACATGACTGAGGGTCTACACTGAAGACCCTGTGAAGAACTGTGAAGTCCTTGGAAAGGTTTCTACTGACTTGTTGGGTTTTGGATCACAAATAGATTGATGTTGCAAAACAAATGTTCTAGAGAAAGGACACAGTGCCAGATATTTATCGAGGCTGCAGTTCAGTAAAGCATCCATATTCAGAAAGGGCACTTACTACCTGCTTATGTTGCATTTAAGCACCTGTAAGGACATGTGCATATGGCCGCATTCAAGGCCTCTGAAAGCAAGTTCTGTACCATACTAATGCTAATGATAATTTCAAAGTTAGTATTATAAAAGACCTCTGTATAGCAGGTTCTCATTGCATTGGGCCCCAAGGCATTCTAGAAACTTTATGCATATCTGCCATATGCAATTGAAAATACTTCACTAATCATAAGTGATCAGGAGTAGTCAGCATGCATTCACCAAAGGGAAATCATGCTTGACCAATCTCATAGCCTTCTATGACGGAATGACTGGCTGGGTAGATGAGGGCAGAGCAGTGGATGTTGTCTCCCTGGACTTCAGCAAGGCTTTGGACACTGTCTCCCATCACATCCTCCTAGGTAAGCTCAGGAAGTGTGGGCTAGATGAGTGAACAGTGAGGTGGATGGAGAACTGGCTGGATGGCCGAGCTCAGAGGGTTGCGGTGAATGGCGCAGAGTCAAGTTGGAGGCCTGTGGCTAGTGGTGTCCCCCAGGGGTCAGTCCTGGGTCCAGTCTTGTTCAGCTT